GCCACCATTGTGACTGATGGACAGGTTTCTCCATGTCCTATTTATGTGGCCGAGTATCTGGGAATCTTGGCCACCATTTGGGCCTTGTGCTGACTGTCTCCCTGGTCTGTATGTTTTGTCTCTGTCCTGTTTGATGTAATAAGTGTGTCTCGATAAGATCTTTTAGAATGTGGGGTCCCTTTTCTCCCCTACACCAGGTGTATAATTTTTCACTCCAAATTTAAAAATTGGGGGAAAGCTAGTAAAATAAATAGAAAGCAGTAAGTACTCTGTAGGCTGACTCTCATGTTTCCTACATCTTGTGCATTGCGTATTTTCAAACAAAAGGTCTGTTGCTGCAGGGGTTGGGGGTGGGGTGGAGAGGTGTTTCTTCTGAGGACAGGAAAGTCTTCCTCCCCTGTGTCCCGGTTTGGTCTCTGCTCACTGGACACCTGTTGCCACATTGACTCCGGACTGTACTTAGCTCCACATCCTGCCCCTCCCCCCACGGTAGATATCTCTGTGGCATATGCAGTGTTGCATCTCATTTTCCTTTTATATGGCACTTCCGTGAGTATTTTTCAATTTTGTTAAAAAGCATTCAGAAACAGAACTGCATGCCTTTCTGTGGCTGGGTTATAGTTTATTTTTAAATGTTCCTATTGTTGGACCTTTTAGGAGTTACTGGTATTTGCGATCATAAATCCCCTGGTGATGATCACCCTGTCAGGGAAGGCCTTTGTTCACATCTCAGTCTGTCCTTAGGCTACATTTCCACCCATGGGATCCTGGCTCTCACTGTGAAAGATGGCGCCGCCCACCTCAGTTAGGAGGGGCAAGCCTTGGACCTGAGTCTGAGGTCATGGGGACAGTACTGGGGCCACCCGCACTGCCTCCTGGGTTGGCAGCTTCCCAGAGCAGTGCCAACCTGGACACATTGCATCTGTGTCACTGTCCCTCGCGGTTGCCCCTCTGCAGTGGCCGCGTGCGTAGCCCTCTCCAAAGGTGTCCTCCTGCTCCTGCTCCTGCTCACAGGAAAGCAGCACATTCTGCGCTTGGGGAAGCAGAGCCCCTGTGGTCATCTTGATCTGGCACAGGGCCTCTGTAGTCGAGCCCAAGGCTGGGTGTCTGGGGCTCTGGTCTGGACGGAAGAGGCTGCTGCCCTGTCTTTCTCCCGCACACAGGCTGGGGTGCAACCACAGATCGTGGAGTTAGCAACTGGGCTACCTGGCTTGTTTCTCTGAAGAGAGAAAAATGGGCCGATTTGTCAAAGCCGCACACCTGTGACTGTAGTGGCCATGCCTGGGCTAGGGAGATCTGCTGAGGTCGTTAGGAAACACGGACCAGCACCTGGTGTGCGCCACATCACTGATGAGCTGCTGGCTCTTCACACTCGGTTTCTAGGACACATCCTTTGACACATTCCGAGTTCCTCAGTGACAACGACAGGAACGGTTGCATTGACCTCCTACCACTGACTTTTATCCAGTTAACAAAATGGATACATATCCAGACTTATTTTCTCCTAAGCCTTCGAAGCTCCAGATTCTCTGTGTGGTCTACCTAACTCTACAGATGCATGTCAATTTGACGTGAACATAAAATGAGTGTGAATCTCAGTAAATCTGTTTCATTCATGAAACATTACTTCAGTAATAAATATGTGCAGTCAAAAAGTTCTTGTAGAGCCAACATCAAATGCAAAGACAAACAATGCAGTAGAAACTGTCATACTGACCCACCCAGGGGACCTTAGGATGTGTGGAACATCGCATCGCAAATGCCATATAATGCTTCATAGTATAAATTGTATATAAAGATAGAGCATCACATCGCTTCCTTTGTAAGTTAATGGTATAATTATGTTGTTTTTAAATAAGTTGGGTTTTTTCTTAAAGAAAATGTATGGTTTCATTCATGTGTCAACTGGAAACATGTCCTTTGAGACAGATAGGTCTATCAGAAATATCAGTAAACCCAGCATTTACAGAGCCCGCTGCCTTCAGTCAGTCCTAACTCATAGTGGCTCTACAGAGGGTTTCTAAGACGATGAATCTTTACTGGAGCAGAGAGCCTCATCTTTCTCCCGAGTGCTGGCTGGTAGGTTTGAACAGCTGACCTCTCCGCTAAGGCACAGGGCCTGAGGATGGCTAAGACGTAGCTGTTGCCATCAAGGAATTCCAGCGTCAGCAGCAACAGACGGAGGCAGGGACCGTTGGGAAGAGCAGCAGTTCAGTGTGTGTGCCGACTGGGACAGACGCAAAAAGAGCCTTAGGGAGAGAAAAGCTCAAAAGTTCACTTCCATGGAGTCAGCGAGTGCGTAAAACTTAAGGAGAATGAGTGGGTGTGTTACTGGGTCTTGTTCCAAGATCAACAATAGAATGGGAATCACTGAAAAATGACAACAATAGAAAATAAAATGTGTTGGCCAGCAGGCAGGAAAAAAATCCGGAACCCTTATGGTGGCCCAACAGCTAAGGTGCTCCCTGCTAACTCAAGTTCAGCTGTCCGAACCCATGTGTCACTCCCTGGGGCAAAGACATGGCCGTCCACTTCCACAAGATGGGCAGTGACCAGGGGCTGGGAAGCAACTGTTAGGAGGGCACAAAGCTTCTGTTGGAAGTGACTAAAAACAAACACACTGGGAACCAGATAGTGCGTGTCTGCACAGCAGAGCTGACGTTCAAAGGACTCCGCTGAATTGCACTGTTAAATCGTTTGAAGGACAGACTTTACATATGTGCATGCACACGGCAAGTACTCATGGTAGCTGTAGGCTCCCATCCCAGGCAAGCAACGGGGCACAAGTGAGCACAAGTGGAGCTGCGAAACAGTAAGCGGTGATCAGGCAAGTCCAGAGG